TGTCCCTATAGGAATGTCATATTAATTCCTAACAGAGGTTACTTTAAGACCTGAAGCTTACTGTTTTCTATTTCTACCAAAGCATTTCATAGTGTTTATTATTTTAACTCTGGATATTTTTGTTATCCATGTCATTTTCCCATCATGTTTTGAACCTTCCTAATTTCTTGGTTTCCATACTGAGCTCAAGGGACAACTAAAGAGAGGACTGTTTCCATACTGTTTGTTGACCAATGAATTTCATGGTCTGATTACAAGTCACGTGGGAAATTATTTTCTTTCATTGTTTTGGAATTTGGCCCCTTTTATTTCACTGAATACAAGGTTCTGTTGTACAATTGCTGAACCTGTTTACACTCTTCTGCTTTGCAATGTAGGAAGAGTTAAAAATGAGCATTACATGGCTAAACACTCAACTCGTGCCAGGTGGTTAAGTAATACTTTGAAAACTAAGACACCTGTAAGTTGTTTAGTATAATTGCATATTCAGCTGTATCCATCTAGGGTTATTTGAAGTGAATGTTACAAATTGGACACTGCACTAAATCTGGATAACCCTCAGTGTATATTTTGTGTGAAAGATTGCAAATTCAAATAAATGCATGTAACACCTTTGCTTTCTTCCTGTTTTTGGAAATAGATACTTTGAGCACTTCAACATTTACTGAAAGGAGTCACAGCACTTTGTTTGCCTGGTGCCTTGTGAAGAGTGTGGATTGATTTAAATCAAAATTATTTAAATTGCCAATGTTAATTACAATTTAAATCTGCAGATAACTCACTGATTTTAGTCTTGTTCCAAATCTATATTTTTTAGTAATTTTTCAGAAGGAAGGTTAATTGTTGTTAGCTGGTACAGCAGACTAGACTCTTTGTAGTGGTAGCGAAGAGGATGAGGGTTAGCAAATTAACAAGGGGTACATATAAGCACAGCAAACAGCGGTGAAGGCCAGTTGAAGTGCTGAAACTGCTTGCTGTGGCTTTTATTTTAAAATGTATCGCCTTTCCAATTAGCTATGCTCCAGCTGAGTGGAGAAGTAGTGCCCTTTGAAGTAAAAGCCACAGAAATCAGCTGAGTAGCTTATTCTTAATTCAGCAACCTGATGCAAACTAAGCAGGTTGTAAAACATCCTTGTGTGAAAATTCCAGGTTCTGTAACAATTAAGACCCGTTGATTTGCATGTAATTGCAGTTTTGCTGTACACACATTGAAATAATAATGTTTCTTAATACACATTTTCATAGTGGAAATATTCTGTTATTTTAGAAACTGGGAGTAAACATTTTCTGTTTAATGTGATATTTTTAGGATTTGCATTAAGCTGTTTATGGCAATTAGAAAGCAATTAAAATATAGAAAGTTAACATTTTTGTTAGTTAGAACTAAATTAAATGTGCTTACATAAAAAGTTCATCAAAATGTGTTGTATTTATAACATTTTTTTAAATAAAGGAGGAATTATCAGTTATTAGTACATTGATATGATTGTTTTTGCCTGCAATGTCTTTTGAGATATTAGAGTTAGAACTCCACGCTTTGTACCTAATTTTCCTTCAGGTACTGGAAGGAGAAAAGAAACTGTTTTGCTTTTGCAAGTCCTAATTAGTGTCTCAAATTTAAATGAATTCGTTTTTGAACTGAACTAGCTAAGTAAACTGAAATTAAGAAATTATTCTCTGCCTACCTGCAGAAGAAGCTGCTACTGTCAAAAGCAGGTTTATCACTTCACTTCAACAACCTGGTTCCAGAAATGTAGCCAGTCACCTCCCCAGTTGATCTTTATAGATGCAGCAACAAATGTCCTGATTGAATATTATTTTTTATTTATTTTTAATTATGTCAATAGATTATACTAAGTTTCAGCCTTAATATAGGTCATAATTTCAAATTAAATCATAAATTTGATTATTTTGTTATGCCTATATTAAATACATTTAAATGGAAGGAGAGGGAAAAGAGGCTGGAAGGAGCACTGAAAATGAGCTAGAGGACAGATAAATTAAAGCAGAATTTTGGTTATTGATGAGATTGTTGGGTTTTAAATACAGGAGCAAAGGAAAAGAATTACAGAGCAGAAGGGTGATGATAACCTTGTTATGAAAGATGAGAACCATCAGACTTTAGAAAGGTGAGGAGAAGAACTATTTTTATTTTCATTTCTTGCTGGCATAATGCACTGGCTTTTGGCTTACACACATCTCCTAACCTGGTCAGTATGTATCCCACCATCCTGATTATTGAGAAGTAGGATCTGGTCATTCTTTCTGCCCTATTGCAATTTTGAAATCTATTTATATTTCCGAGCTAGACACACAGTCTTCACATGCAAAAATAATGCTCCTTAGGGTCTCTTTTTTCTTGTGTATAGGTATTTTCCTGAAAAACTGATTAGGAAGTCATCTTGTTCTTAACATTGCCATTAAAGTATAGCAATAGTAACCAAGTTTCCTTTTGGCAAGTACACATTACAGCGTATTGAATAAGACCAAAGAAAATGTACTAAGATGTTTAGAAGTAGTAGAATAAAGACAGAAGTGTACAGATAAATAATTGTGAGTACAGTAGTAAAAACTGATACTTAAAAAGTACATATAGTTTATCTTAATCGTTTCTAGCTATGGATAGTACAACTTCAAGTATAGAATCTGAATACATTAAGAACCTCCAGCAGCAGATCTACTTCCTTGAACTGGAAGCCAGTTTTCTATATCTTTCATGGTTCCATTTATATTTTCACCTAAAATGATCTAGAAAGATACCCAAAAGAAAACTTCCACTGAAAAATCATGTAAGTAGAGAAAAATGTTTAGTGTTATGATTTTGATTTAGTTACTTATGCAGATTGTTTTTAATCATATATGACCTTAACTTCTTCATCACTCGGAGACAAACTAAAAAAACTACAGATCTTCAACCCCTCATCGTTTCTGAAACTAAGCATGTGTTTAAAAAAATCCAGGTAATATATTTTTTTCCATATTCTAGCACAAAAACTTCATAGTTTACTTCTGTTCTAGCAAATATTCTATCTTTTTAATGCTGATAGAGGGGTTTCTTAGAAAACTAAATTAGAAAAATATTAAAGGTATCTTGTCAAATTCAAACAACTTAAAATAATTTCAAGCTATTGCACTTTCTCTAAAACTTCTTTAGTTCCGTGATTTTACAATCACATTTTTTGAAGTTTTCCTTAGTTCTGTTTTAGAGTCACTTAACAGAAGGGGAAACTGAATGAATGAACAGCTGATCCTCGGCCGGACTCAAAAGGTGAAGACCCACTTAATCTAGCCAGCAGAGTTGATGGCTGTAGCCAATGGCAAACAATTGAATATGTGTAATATAATGGCTCATGTTGCAGCGGGCCATCTTTGACTTGCTGACCGAAATGACCAGGAACTATTGTCACATGGGGCAGCCTTTAGCTTGGGTCCAGAGCAAGATTCCAACTCTCACTTCTGGAGCTGCAACAAGACTCTAAGTATTCTGCCTATGTTCTAAATTTCTAAATTTGCTTAAAATAAACCACATGCATGAAGATTTGCAGGATCATTGCCTATAACAATACTGTCATATGCATACACAGAGGAAATATTTTTTCTTAAAGTGTTTCAAATAAAGTGAACCTAGATATTGCTTATGAATATAATGGACAATGAGTTTCATAGTGTGGTGATTGTACTTTGTTTTAAAAGGATACTGTCAATTATTTTCCAGGGTTTTTAAATTTGGGGCAAATGATAATAATTTAATATCAGGTTGGATAAGTAATCTAACAGAATCAGACCAGAGTAAGTAACCAAAATAAATTAATCAGCATAGTAATAGCAGAGCAACTATTCTGCTATAGCTATATTAATATAATTTATTCTATATGGGCACTATATTCTGGAATAAATACAACTTCATTTTAGAAAAAAATCATAAATATCTTAATATTTTGGTAAACAGTGTCCACATGCAGGTGTTACGTCCATATAACGATTGTAGAATAATCATATTTCTGTAACTACACCAGTCAATTTCCATGAATAGACAAACCCAAAAATTGTTTTAGAGAAGAGAGGAACTATGTAGTTGCCTAAATCATTTGGTTATTTTTGCTTGCTTTTGGAAAAGTCCATTTTTCCATAGCCTCAGTATATTTCTCTATAGCTAAATATGGAAAAAATGCTTCTGTTCAGTTTGGTTATGTTGGCAAAGATATGAAACCTTTAGGAGACCTAATACCTCATTTTGCTAAATCTGGAATATACATGCCTAAATACTTTATTGACAGACCACCACACCAGAAAAAGGAAATGATCAAGTGAGTTGAGAGGTGACATTAGATTTATTGTGTGTTAGTGGCTACATCATGTTTAGGTACTATTGTACGGTGTGCTCTGGTGTTACCAGGCACTTAATGAATTTGTGTAGGAGTTAACTAAAATTAATAACAAACTAGGTTAAGAAGCAGCACATCAAACATTTGTTGTTATTAATCAAATGAAGGAATTTTTATGAGATGTTCTGTATATAATCAAAAGAGAAAAATGTACCCATTGACTGAATAAGGATATTGTGTTCTTTGCTCATGAACTGGAAAATTAAGTCACAGCTAGACATAATCTGTATTCAGTTCAGAAATATATTGAAGTTCAAAAGTGACTCTGTGACCTCCCTAGGAGTTGGCAGGTCTGAGGCACTTTTAAAAATCTGGCCACATAGTTAGAAACTTTAAGTTCTTATTTTTTAAAATTGTAACTGAAAGTAACATTTTTGTTGAGGAGGGAGTCTTTTTAAAACACTAGAAAATTACACCCTTGAAACATATTTACATAACTGGCCCATAAAGGGTCATGTCGCACATTACACTCAAGAAGTGTTAATTTCACTTAAAACATGAACACCCACACATGCATGCAAGCAGTAAAACACATGCAAAGTGCAATTTCATCATAGCAAATTAATGACTTTTTGTGAGAGGAGTGTCTTCAAATCATATTAAGCAACATGTGTGTAGCTGTTGTAGGACTGTTCCACAGAAATAATATGAGTTCAAGATTCCAGTGCAGTGTTGGGGGCTGTGACACTCAGTTAGCTGAATAAGTAACTAAATGGATCTACCAGCAGGAGCAGAGCCCTCTCCCAGACTTGGCTCCCTATGCCTCCCTCCACCCATTGCCAGCAGAGTAACTAAATGGATTCTCTAGCCTCAACTTAAAAAAAATTCCAGCTGTGTATTTGCATACAGCACAGGGTTTCTCAATCAGAGGGTGATATATCCCCGGCTGATTGTCAGTCCCAGCCAATTCTCATTGCACTGGAGCCAGCTGAAGAGCTCAAGTGACAAAGAGTTAGCTCACCCTGCAGATACAGTGACACGTGTGGAACCAGTGTCAGGAGCGGCACCCTCTTCTGGGCTTGGCTCTCCATGCCTCCCTTCTGCTACAAGCAGTAGAGACCCAGCTCATGCCTGAATGCCAGGAGGAAGCACTCCCAGATCGGGGAGTGCTGGGCATGAAATAAAAAGGATGTGGGCTCCACATGTGGGGGCTGCATCCTCAAGGACAGAAGTGCGAACTGAGGTGCCTGGTGCTGGGGCCAGTTTTGTGGGGTGGAGGTGGGGGGACATAGCTGCCTCCAATGCCACCCACAACTGGTTGAGATCATTGTAAGTTTTACCATGCATCTGTGAAGAACATGTTATAACTTTTAACAGGATGTAATAATGCTTACTAAGATCTAACTAAAATACATACCAAGTATTCTATGCAGCAAAGACCAAAGTTTCAGCAAGGTATATTTTAAATAGATTTTAGCTACATGCACAATGTTCATTTTACTATACATTAAGTGCCAGGGTTTGAGGCTGAGACTTTCTCATTTTTTCTGGGTTGTACACTGCAAAATACATTGTTGGTAATAAAAAAAAAAATGTGAGCGGGGAGGGAGAGATGTATAGTAAGAGAGAACTTAGGGGCATCAGTTTCCTTAAAATGGAAAATATTGGTTTTAGGGTTCACTGTATAACTGAAATTGCTCCCCACTTACGAATTAGACCCCACCAAAAGTTTGTGCCCCACCTGGTAGCCATCATCAAGAATGATAACAATCTTCCTAAAAAATTCATGGCACATTTCATTCAACAGCTGGAAATTTGGGGGGAAACCAAAAAAAAAAAGAAGAAATTATCTGCTGCAGACTACTTGAAAAATTTCGTAATTATTCCCTATATATCATCATATTCTAAAATGCTTTGGAGCTACTGAGAAAAAGTGCCATTTAGTTTTGTGGGAACGAAGCTAATGGTGGAATTACAAAGACCTATGATAAAGTAATCTGCAAGGCATTGAAACATACACTCAAACCAAGCAAAAAAATCTCCCTCAGTTTTACATGTTAACGAAGTTAATTCAGCTTCCAAATATGACACAGTAACTTTTCAGAGGACAATTTATTGTGAAGTACTTAATTTTTTACAGAAGATTTTTTTATTAAATGGTCCCTCTTAAACATGTCTGGCTTGATTTCCTTGCATGTCTCAGTTCCTCTAAATGGATAAACAAAATTCCCACAAATTTCACACTTACTACCTACATATGGTCCGATAACATTTTTAATATTTAAAATTACTTATTAAGAGCCGTTCACTAATTTGAAGTAATGGTTCTGAACACTACCAAGATAGCCAATGGAATTGATATTTCTAAGTTATTTCCTTTCTTTGATGCTAGTAGCCTAACACTCAGATTTGCCACACACGGCTCTACACATATTGTTTGTGTGTGTTTGGAGCCCTGTAGGCAGTCAAAGAAATAGAGGTAGGTACTGTGGAGAAGGGGAGTAGATATATGTGGTTTTTGTGGAGAATGGAGTTTTGCCAGGATGTGTAAGGTCATGGAAGAAAAAGGACTGTATGCAGTGGTGGCACAGCTAGAGTGGCTAGCATTGCAGTGTTTCTGTGCCAGGATATTGGCACGTCATGGCCTTGCTACAGCTCTAAAAGCCAAAGCAATAATTCTATCCACAGCTTTTGGTGCACCAGTATCTCAGCATAGATGCACTGGGTCTCTCCTCCTCTGACCCTAGGCCCTCAAACTACCTCTGAAAAAGCCAACATCCCTTGTTACTCCCACCATCTCCATTTGAATTTGGCTGTAAGTAAACATCAGTTTAAATTTGCCACCCTAAGGAACATCCAATGCTTTGTTGATGACATTTGATACAGTAAATCCAAAAAGAGGATTGCTTTTTTTTTTAATGGGAAACAAACTCTTCTGTTATTTACTGGCCAGCCAATACAATTAATTGGGTGGCTGGCCAGTATTTTTTAGACTTCTTTGCTAAAATGTTATTTTAAAATGATTATTTTTTTTAGATAACTAATGTAGCTAGGTAAATTGCCATCTTTGCTTATTTTTTATGCCTATTAACGAAACATTTAAAATACTTTTGTCAAAACTTCCTTGTAAGTGCTACAACAAATGAGACCAACATTTTACATTCTTCAGAGTTTTAACGTGCCTGAGCTTACCACATTCAGTATGCAGTAAGTGTCTTAATGTACACAATATAGAATATGAACAGACACTAAGGGAAGATTTACTAAAGCATTTAAGTGCATAACTTCCACGTGAAATTAATGGGATTAATGGACTGACTGACTCCAGGAAAAACTGGAGTAAGGTACATTATCAAGACCTTTATGAATCTTGGCTTAAATATACAATTTGTATCTGAATATATTTGTTAATATGCAGGTATTTTTAAATGTGTATTTTTGAGCTGAGAGGCAAAAGGCAATAGTAGATAAGACTACATTTACAGAAATGATTTTTAATAACTAGGTGACTGAGCAGATGATTTTTCACCACAAAAAATGTTTAATACTTTTTTGACAGGAATTACAGACTCAAGCTGATGGCCTCCACTTGGAACTAAAGCAAAAGGAAAGCAGTTTGAATATGCTGCAAGCAGACAGAGAGCGAATTAATAACCATATCAATGTTGCAAATGGTAATTATTTAGGAACATGGGTTTGGAAAGAACCATGCTCCACTCTAGAGAGAAAAGTGAAAACCCCCACAGTTTTTACTAGTCTAATCTAGAGGAAAAGTTCCTTCTTGACCATAGATTTGGGGACTAGTATGACCCTGAACAGAAGAGCAAGACCCTACCACACTACAAAGAGTAACCCAACCTAAAGAATGCATATACACAATTCCACATGTGATTATAGGGCCACAACTGCCTGTCGTGTTATGTTATCGCTTCCATAAATTGATCCCGTTTAATCTGTAAATGATTCAATGAATTTATACCCTACTATTTGGCTTGAACAACCATTCCAACCAAAACTTCACCCCTCCAACATAAATCTTTTAAGTTCTGATCTAAATTTACCTATATCCAGTATGTAACTATTTGATTGTGTCCTGATGTTGTTTTTCAGCCTACAATCTCTTTTCTTTCCCTAACAGTCTCTCCAATAATGTACTTGTAAGGTGTAATAATATGAGGATATAGTTAACATGCATTTATACTTCTAAACTTCATTCTGTTTCTAATGCTTCATCCACAAAATTATTAACATTTTTCATGTCACCTCAGATTCAGATTTTATGAGGAAACAACTAGTTTTAGTACTAAGGCTGATAACAAAATGTTAAACAAGATACGTCGTAAGGCTGACCTCTGAGAAACATCACTGGCAACTACTCTCCAGCCAGAAAATTCTCCAGTCAGCATAACCTGCTCTAGTTTCTCTTTGAGCCAGCTCTGTATCCACTTCATGATTGTATCACTGATCCTCATCTATTCTACTTTGGACAATAATTTCCCAGGAAGTACAGTATCAAAAGCTTTCCTTAAAGCTAGACAAATTAAGTCTACTGCATTGCCCTTATCCATGATTTTATCATGGGAGAATATTAAATTGTCTAACATGATTGTCCTCAGATAAACTTGCATTTCTGATGTTTTCTATTTGCAGTCGTATCTTTGACTTTTTTCCTTTGATATCGGTTCTAAGACCTTACATACTGTTTAAGTCAAAATGTCAATGCATGAATGTGCATGCACTCTCTTTATCTTTTTAACATGTTTGAGTAATGCAAACTCCAGAGAAAGGTAACTGAGATCTCAATTGCCTTAATCTCTCCAGCATGAGCAAGTGTTCTTTTCTTTGTTGCTGGGTAGTGAAAGACCATTTGACTGTAAACAGGTGTATCACTAGAGATGGTCCTGAGTGTCCTGGGTTTTGACCTAAATAAAAACAGGAGTAGAACAGCAATATAAACACATAGCCTTTCCAGGGACCATATAAGCATTCACTCTTGTGAAAGTATCTTTCGCAAGGTAGATCTTCCAGTTGACCCTTTTCTTCCAGGGGAAATTGACTGAATGCTTGTATACTTTTAATTCCTACCACGAGAAATATGATTCTCCCAGTAGAAATATAATGTTTGTATGTGGCTCCAAGCTGCATTGCTGCTCCTCTGCCAGTAGTTGGTCAACAAGGGCACACAGGTATTTACAGCAGGAAAGTGGATGTGAGTGTCTGTAGTATCCTGAGAAAAAAAGCTTTCTCCTGGGAGAAATCTGTTTACTGCTTTTGAGAGCAGCAGTTATGGTGCCAGTCCTTTACTTTTTACAAGTGTGTTGCCTCTTGATTCTCCAGTTCCTTTCTGCTTCTCAGTTAAGAGCGTATCAAGTTCCATAAATTAAGAAAGTATTTTTAGGTCACAGACACAATGGAAGACGGAACAGCCAGAATAATGTAGGGGTTAGTCATTCTGACAGACAGATCTGTCTGCTTCGCTGTCAGAGGAATGGGGCATCTGATGTGCAGCAAAACAAAGGTCCAATGATTTCCCTCTATCCACTAGTGACAGAAGACCTGAACTGGTAACCTGTCTGTGTTCAACAGCTCCTTAACTAGGAGACACTCAGGCCTTAAGAAATAGCAAATGCTTTGCTGGTCCTTTCTACAAGATGTTCTATTAGAAACAATTTTGGTGCCAGTGTTTGAATCACAGAGCTTGTGACTTCCATGCTTTTTCACATAGGACCTAGGCCTCATCCTCTTCAAATGAGTCATTCTGTGGGTTTCTTTCATAATGGATTGGAGCAGGGGTCCCACTAGTCCAATGTCTTGTCTCCAACAGTGACCAGTACCTTACTTCAGAGTGGAAGAAATCCTGCAGTAGGCAATTATTAAATAACCTGCCCACAATTAGAATATCTTCCTAAACCCCGGTAGTGGAGGATTGAGATGTATCTTGAAGGAAAAGGGTTTGTGCTGTAGCCCAAGTCTTTGTTTTATTTTATTTTCTATTTTGTTATTCCTGCTCTTGGTTTTCTTAAATATTTGAATGCTGCTAAGGTTTTTCTCTCAATTATATCCTGTAACAATGAATCCCAAAGTCAACTGTGAACTATATGAAATGTTTTCTTTACTCTATTATAAAGTTTCACCTTTTCTCTAAGAAGATTCTGGAAGTTTTCAGGATTCAAGAAGGACTTATCTATATAGTGGCTGAGGCGAGTTCTCCAGAGAACAAAACTGAGCACATCCCACAGATCTAAATCTGCAAGCATATTCCAAACCTAGAATTTTACCAGGGAGACTGCTCCAGGTTTATCCCTGGTGCCAGCTCTGAAGAGCTCTATCTTTGGCAGGCCTGAGAGAAGCTGCTGTGGATAATCCCAGAGCGGTTGAAATTCTCAGTCCTAGGAGTGTATCTATACTCAGATTGTGGGGCCAGGTCATAGACAGTTTTTCTCATGTGCTGATTTGGATACAGTCCAGGAAACCCCTCAAGATTAAACAAATTGATCTGGGATCAATTTGATGTCAGAGGCTAGAGACAGACATTCAGAAAGCCAGAGCCTGAATTGATTCAGTCTTTGCAGGTTAGTCTAACCTGTCTAGATTGAACCAATTTGCAAGTGAATAGACATTCACTTTTGGCTCTGGAAATGCAGGCACATGCCTGCAGTGGCCCAGGCTAGAAGCTGGGAGGTGCTAGAGTGAGCCCTCAGCTGGAGGGAAACTAAGCTGAGGGAAGGGGCACAGCCAGGTTTGGGCAGGCCTGAGTATGATTGGGGAGGGGTTTAAACCCCCACCTTTACCTGTAGGGACCCCAGCTGGGGTCTGCTTGGAGGAGGAAGGGGGAAGCAGCCCCTGTCAGGGGTCCCCAGCCCCCTACACCCTGCTCACTTGCTGGCTGGTGGCAGGAGTGGGGCTGGGGCCAGACCCCAGTAGTTTGAGGGGAAGCTGGGGGGGAGGGGGGGAACGTGGGCATCAATAGGCTCCGCTCATGCACCTGGAGCCATGCACCCAGGGCCGCCATGGCCTGATGCCAGTAACCTGAGGGGAAGATGGGGGTTTAATCCTGCAATGCAGGCAACAGCAGTGGGGGCATTGTCATGGCCCCCTGGCCTGAGTCCCTCTGAGGAGCAGCCAGATGATCATAGGGAGGGGCTGGGAAGCTGAGATGTGACGTGGATGTTGGGGGTAGGAAGCCAGGACTAGTCACAGAGCCTGACTCAATGCTGCCTCCTGTTGTGGCAGCATGGCCTAGACTGGGGTGGTCCCAGGGGGTGGCATCATTGCCTGCTGCCTCCTTCCTCCAGCCCCACATGAGGGCCGCAGTTTTCAGGCGGGCTACAGCTGCAGTGCAGCTCCTCACCCTCCCCGCCTCCCAGCGGTGGCTGCAGCAGAACAAGCTATCATGACGAATGGAGGTAAAGCACCTGTCACCCGCCACCTCTTTGTAGTGGTGCCGGGCACTCGGGGCAGGCTGCTGCAGGCCAGGGGAGTAGGCAGCAGCGGTGGAAGGCAATGGACCGCCATGGCCTGGTCCAGCTTGGGCCTGTGGCTCCGGGGCCTAAGCATGGACTGGCCTGTAGCAACCCACACCTCCCTCTCCCAGCAGTGGCAGTGGTGAAGCAAACCATCGCGGTGGGCAGAGCTAAGGCACCTGTCAGTTGGTGCCCACTTGTGGCAGCACCAGGTGCTTGGGGCAGACTACTGTGGGCCAGTTGCTGTCTACACCCTGGTCTGTAGAGCAGGCTTTGGCAGTCCATTGCCTCCTCCACCACTGCCCACTCCCTTGGCCCATAGCACCACACTCTGAGTGCCCAGTGCCGCCGTGAGCAGGTGGCAGATGACAGGTGCTTCACCTTTCCCCACTACAATAGTTCACTCAGCCGCCGCCACCACTGAAAGAGGGAGGGGGACGGGGAGCTGCATTGCAGCTGCAGCCACCTGCAAACTGCAGCCCCCACATGGGGCTGGAGGAAGGATGTGACAGGTGCTGACCCCCACCCCCTGCGGCTGCCTCAGCTCAGGCCATGCTGCTGCAGCAGGAGGCAACAGTGAGTTAGGCTCCATAACTAGCCCCGACTCCCCCCACCAGCACACCTGCAGCCAGGTCACATCCCCCCCTCCTCCGCCCCCTCCACTGCCCCCTCCTGCTCCCCAAGGCTGGCTGGCTGTTCCTCTGAGGGACTCGGCCCAGGCGCTGCAGCACAGGCCCTACCTGAGGCAATCTTCAGCGTGGGGCAGAGCCAGTCTAGTGTCAGTGCCGGCACTGCTGCTGGCCTGCAATGGGGAATTAAACCCCCACCCCTTCCCTTAGGCCATCAGTGTCTGGCCACATGAGCTTATTGGTGCCTGCACCAACCCCCCCCTGCAATGTGGGGGATTAAACCCCTGCTTCCCCCCCAGGCTACTGGGGTCTGGCCCCACCCGTGCTCCTGCCACTGGAGCAGCGAGGAGGGTGGGGGGCTGGGGATGCCTGGCAAGGGCTGCTGCCCCCTTGCCAGGCCCACCCAGCAGCACTTCATTACAGGGTTTTGAACCCCCAGCCCTTTCTCAGCCAGTTGGAGCAGTGACAGTGCTCTAGGGAGAAGGGGGCGGGGCAGGGCCAGCCCAGCCCAGGGCTGCTGGGATGCTGGAGGACTCTGATTTATCTTAAACCAGTAAGAGGTCTGAGACAAAATTTCCACAAACCGGTTTGACCTCAATAAGTTAAGTCTGATACTACATTGTACCAGGTTTATCTCAAACTGGTTTCAGCCATTTTGAAACTGGTTTATGTGCACTGTGTTTATGCTCTGTTACAGGTTTAAACCAGTTTCTGATGACTTAAACCAGTTTATATGGAACTTCTGTCCCTAGCCAGGGTGTCTACATAAGAAAAAATACCTTCTTGTAGATTTAAATGTTTTCCTTTCATACAAAATATAAATGAGTATATTGTGTATGTTAGCCATCCATTAAATAATAGGTGTATGATTGTTTGAAATATGCTATTTAGGTTTCAGATGAATCCTCATAATTCCTAAACCATTTTGTGTTTATTGTACTAAATTGTAATTAGGTTGTGCTAGGTCCGAAATATAGTTTTGTGCTGATGCCATATTACACTTTATATGTAATTGTGAAGGATTATCTACAGCTCATAAATAACTGCAAAAAATCCATTGTTAACTAAATCAGGAAGGGGTCAGATTCATTTACTAGGATTTACTAACTGGGAAGCCAGAGAGACTGAACAAAAGAAGTGACAGCTGTGGTTGACTAGGCTGCTAGAAGGCAGAGCTCAGAGATACCTGACAGGTAGGAAAGCCATAAACGCTGAGGTTTCCTGTGGAATAGAGTAGCTTTCTCAAAAACAGAAAGTATAAAATTGGATTCTGGGAAGAAAATCTTCTACTCATATCTTTCAGATTACTGTATTGAAAGACTGAAATTGACTATCTTGTTGAAATGAGAACCTCTGTTACATGATTCCCCATTTTACTTGGGCAACCCAGTTGTAAAAAAAAATAAAGCTTAATGAATTATTGCATGCATATGTTGCATTATTTTTGGTTCTGTTTTGGTTTCGGTTTCTGGTGTAAGTAGCTTGTGACTTCAGTCTCAGAGAGTTAGGCAATGGCTCGGTTAAAATGTTAATAATTTGTACTGTCTGTCTGGCTAATTAGATGTGTGTGAAGAATTTTAGATGTTCGAAGGTAATAAGTTAAGTGCTAAGATTATTAAGTCTCAGTATAATCATTAGTAAATATTTCAAGACTCATCTATGTTAGATTTCTGTGCATGATCCCTAGATGGCATATTTCAATATATAGAACTCATAATCTGTATTAGAAGATAGTGTAGTTCAGCAGAAATTTCTATCTAGTGGTTAAAGAATAATTAAAATAGTCCTGGCTGTCAGTATGTAATCTGCTCCTTGCCATGATGGGATTTAAAACATTCACCTTCTTGTAAGTTTCTGTTTAGTGAATATGAATTTATTTTACACAAAAACCATGGCCATTGCAATTTCCTCTTCTTCTGATTTGCATCCAGCTGTGGTCACAGGTGAATAATAAGGAAAAACAATCAGAAACATAAAGAGAGAAAAAGGAGTCAGAGCTGGTAAATCTGAAGCAAGTTGTAGCTACAGATATCCATTAAACTATAACTTTGTACACATTTTCAGAAAAAGTAAAAAAGATAATGTTCACGTTTAAGTATAAATGTTTTTGCAAAACAAGATTTGTATTTTTTAAATTACCAGTTTAAAATGGATATATGTTTGGCACCATCAAGTGGTAAAATAATGTACTACCACTTCAGATCAGCGGTCCGTATCTGAGGGAGCAGTAGGCAGAACAGACATAGTAGTAACACACAAGAATTATACATCTAAGGAGATTTGGGGGTTTTCAGTTTATTCAGTTCTCTTTTTCTGAGTTTTTTAAAATTAACTGAGACATAAAATTGCTGGATTTAAGCACGTGTTTAAGAGTATTTTTAGGAATATCTATTAATTTTTCAATTTTTAGGACTAATCCAGTCCAATTACCAGGAAGATTCCTGGGCATTTAGGGTGTGGTAAAAGAAGAAAACCTCTCCATCTGGCCTTGATCTGAGCTGCTCTGGATATTGGAGTCTTAAGGGCGAAATAAAACTTGTGACCTTACTGCTTGTAACTGCTATGACCCTGCTTCCACCTGTCCATCACTTCTAGTCAGCTCATGCAGAGTTAATTGATGCAACTGGGGACCAGATCTCTCAGATTCTTATTCCATTGCAATAATAATAGTATCAGTGTGATAAATATGTTGTCTCAAGAGTCTGTATTCTAAAAAGACAAAGGAAATATACAGAAGGCGGGGTGAAAGGGTAGTTTTCCCTGTTTTTATTTTCAGTAAAATAATAACCATTTGTTAGCTGGCACCTTACATGATCTTTATGAATTAGTAATATTGGCCAAGCATTCTCATGTCCAATCTTGTATTTTGTAATTTTTTTTCAGTGATTGTTGATAAGTTTAATGGAAATAATATTATAATTTGGTTTTCTTCTTCTTGATATTTTAGCATAGCAATCAGGGATTTTTTCAAACTTGGAGTATGTCTGGCAGCTATTAAGAAAATGACATTGTAGTATTATGCAAATGTAACTTTGCCCTTTCACCATCTTGACTAGAATTCATCATAATTTTCAATATAAATATATTTCAAGCTAATACATTTATTAAGGTTACTTAAAAGGGAGTATCACAGAGAATAATTTAAATATACTTATGCAGATGAATACATAAAGATTCTGATAACAAATGAAGAAGCTATGTGCTTTTCTCTCATTTTCCCTTCCATGTAACAATTTAAAATTGCTCATCTTAAAAAATGGGAACATAATTAATATTGTGCATTATTAGTGTCCATGTTCATTTTCTTCTCTGTTGGTTACAGAATAATGCTTGAACATGGGTAACTGAATGAAGAAAGTTTGTAAGAGACAATTGTAAGGAGTCAGGAAGAGCAGAAAACATACAGAGGGTGACACAGAGGAGTAAAACTATTTAATTCATAAAAAATGACTTACGCTAGGACAGTCCTCTCCTGCATTTAGAAGAGAGTCTTAATTAATTTGATCAAATAAAAAATTGACTGATATATTGGATAAAATGATACATGATTAATCTTCCTAACTGGTGTCAAAAGATTTAAAAATTTAGCAAAATCTTGACCTATTTATGTGGGAAAAAGTTGAAATTTATTAAAATCACCCCTTAATCACTTTATTACTTAATCACTTTATCACTCATTAGAACGTCATTCTAAAGAAAAGCAGGCTTTAGTAGAAGAGATCATAGAACTGAAGAAAAGGAAAGAACAGACATACAGAGAAACATCTGACAAAGAAATGGAGATACTTCATGCTAAGCAGGAGTTGGAACAGCAAGAGACCAACCTGAGTAACAGTGAACAGAAAGTCCTTGCGATACAGTCAAAGGTATGGTATCTAGTGTTCACTGATGAATAATCAGCACCTTTTGTGAGGACTGAATTTTATCTGAGGCAGGAATAGAAATCAGTGTTATATTTACTATCACTGACATAGTAGGTGGAATTCAGTGGATTAGAAAACAACATTTTTATTATCATCATAACTTTTATCTTATATTTCTGTTGAGCTATTTGTAAGTAAAATCTTCTTATAATGGGTAGACAAATAAGAATAAGAGACAAAAAAGAAGGCAAATACAGATTATTAATACAAGCATTTCTATCATCACTAATCCTCATTTACAGTTACCGCATAAACTGCAGTCAAACAAGTGCTTATACACATTAACAGTCCAAATAGCCCTGCTGATTTCAATAAGACTGCTCATGCTTAAAATTACTGGTATGTTTAAGTGTCTGCAGATCACAACTGCCCCTTTCATATTATTTTGCTGTTTTTTCAGGATTCAGGTATATGGTTACTTCAGATAAACAGTTTCTCATTTTTCAAATACTTCTATTAGATGTAGTAAACTCAATTCCCAACCATATACTTAGGATTATATTTAGATCTTTTGCCACCAAAAGTATGGTCTCCTACCACTTGAGCTTTATGTATCTAGTCTTGTTTCAAATATAAATACGATAAGCCCAACGTATATTCAGAATACTAGCCAGTTTAACAGTAGCCGAGTTAGTTTGAACCAGATTAATTATTGGAACTGTTTTGTTGGTTGATGTATATTTTACTGTGTATTTTAAAAATAAACAATATATGCCATGATTTCAGTTTTCATTCTGTGGCAATTTTGTTTCCTTTTATGCATCTGGACACCAAGTTGAAGCAGCGGTCAGAGCAGCAGAAGGCAGTGGAGGTGCGGCTTTCTGAAAAGAGAATGGAACTTTTGAAATTGCAAACTGCAGTGCGTGAAATGGAGGACAAAATATTTAAAAAAACAGCAGTTATACAAGACCAGATCACATGTAATATTAGGTATTAGCTAAGTTATTTGGAAGGTTTTGAGAGAATAGTTGGGATTTGGCTTTTACTAACTTCGGCTTCGGTTTACCAGTTTCACTTTTCATTATGGTTGAATTCACTTTAAGTTGGCATTCATTTTTTTTGTAACAGATCCCATGGAATCATAAGGGGTTGATGTCAGTTCTTGCCCATTTGCCAAAAGATATTACACTCCTTTGGTTTTCCAGGAGAAAGACAAAAGACAAGGAGAAAATAGAAGCCTGCCTTTCCTTAACAGTGGCAGTCCCTTCAGTGAGACTGATTAATGCAAATAGGGCAATGTAGGAGAGCTTGTACTACAGCTTTCTTTATACAGTCTAATAGACAGACCTTAGTCACCATGGTTAACAATTTGGCATTCTTCAGGAGCTTTCTTCCTTTAAAAAAGACAATACTTTTGAAAAAGTGGAAAATATTTTTAAAGGATTCTATCATTTGGTTGATCAAATCTTTTATTCAAGGCTACAAAGCTACCCGTATATGATGGGTTTAATATTGTCATACAGTATTACACTTCTGAAAGAGAAGATCTCAAATGTAAAATACCACAAGAAACCAAAATACTAGAATAAGTTTTATTCTTTAAGTAAAGGATGTTTTAGGTGTTTGCCTTCATTTAGAATTATAATACACAAAATAGCTTATGTAATACAAAATATGTTTGAAGGGGTTTTTTGCCACTTAGTTGATAAAGAATTCTGTTGTATTTGTAGCAGCCTATGCAGTAGTCTGGTATGGGAACCTTCGGGCTACCAGCCATGTGGCTAGGACATATTCTTCTACCTTCTCTCTGATTCAGCCCCACTGCCCTTCAGGGATGCTGGAGCTAAACCCCTCAGTGTGCAGTATGCGTAACATGAAAGCAATACCATTGTGTGAATAGGAGCAGCCCTCTATCAGCATCAGATGTGATTACAAAAGGAAATCACTGTGGGGAGCAATATTTCCCAACATTGGAGATATGAGCCATTTAATATGTTTAGATATGCAGATCAGCATCTTCTAAATGAATTGAATCCAAACAGCTCCAGGCCAGCTTGTTTTGTCCCATGTATGGTGCAAACCAACCTTTTTGTTGTCTAGAATGTGACGCAGCTCCAGAGTGCTGAGTTCTGATTTTTACATCCTGGACAGTCAGCTCTTGTCATGGCTAAGGGCTTCGGTTTGGTTGTGTTCAAATGCTGCAGGGATCATATTTCTTCACTGCAGGTCTCTCTTCTCTGTTCTCTTTCTTATCACAAAGCAAACTTCAGACAGAAAGAATAGGATCCCTGCTAGTCCCAGCAGTGCATCACAGCTGACTGGCCCATGGCCAACCTAGCATGTTATAGCCAATTCCCTGTTTTTGTTCTGGATGACCCTCCTGCACTCCAACAGGTATCAAGTTTTCTGTAACCAGCCTCTTTGCTGCCACCCCATCCCTAACTGCTCAGAGATTTCTGTAAAGGGAAAACACTGTCCACATAATTGTTTGTATTTCTAATGCCCCTCTCACTTCAGCATTTAGAACTAACTACATCTGGAGATTGAATTATTAGTGGGGACAGGACATTGTACTCTCAGATCTTTATGCCGTGTTACCAGCAGAAGAACAGCCATAACTCATATACCTCTGAGACTGACCAGAAAGAAGTTGATACAGCTTAACATGAAACAAATCCCACTTATACTACTAAAACAAATAGAAGGATCAGGAGGGGAGGAGTGAACTTTTTGCTCTGAATTGCATAGTTCAGTGCTTGAGAGAATAAGCAGGAAGGGCAGAAAGCTACGCATGTGCCTAGGATGCAAGTAGTAGAGGGAAAATACAATGTACACTCCAGCTGCTTTTTGTTTTTCTGGTGTTAGGCAACAGTTGCTTAACTGTCTGCTATACCCTTGCTGCTCTACACCAGTTGAGGTTCATAAAGTAGTAAGATCTGGCCCTAAAATATTGAATCAAAATGATTTTTAAGATTGATGCTACAAATATACGCATCTTCACATTTTTAGAACTTTCACACGGTAGCATGCTCTTTGGGTTTCTTATATATGGTCTATATCTGTAATAATTTTCAATTTTTTTAATAATTTAAAATACTTCTATAACTCTAGTGTCCTAGGAGTTTTTAAATGATGTCATATATATTTATAATATTTGAGTCTTGCTGATTTCCTTGATCTCTGTGTTTTGAGAGAAAAAGAATGTATGCGTGTATGTGCATTATGAAGTAATTCTCCATTGTTACCACAGGGTACCTCCTACGAGCAAGATGTGCCTTGCTAGTGAGTCAACCTTGTTTTTAGAATTTATTCTTATTTAATAGGCATAGATAGATTTTGATCATAGAACTCAACAAGTTCATTTGGTTTTTTGACAGAGGTTGCATATACTATTTATGAAAAATGCTGGATTTTGATTAAATTATTCAGAGCATTTGAGAAAGCTGCATGAAATGTCCTAACTTTAAGATCTGACCAGTTTTTTATAATATTGTAATGTGCATAATTTTTAAAAAGCATATGGCTTGTTAGTAATGCTCAGATGGAATTTAAAAATAATAATAATAAGCCTTTCTCTCTCTCTTTGATTAGAGGTGAGATAAGTTTTCTTCATCAGCAAGTGCGAGAGAGAGAGCTACTGGCAGAGCAGGATCGTTTTTTAAGAAACAAAATGATGGGCGATTATGCATCCCTGACCAAAGAAAATACTATGCTGAGATCCCAGCTCTTGGAGCTAAAAAAGCAACTGGACATAGTAAGGATAGGATACGGAAAGAGCAATACATCTTAAATAAAATTAAAATTTAAGAGAGAAATTAAGGTTTTAATAAAATTAAGAAAGTTAAGATTTAGGAGATTACATAGACTGAACTAACCTGATGGTGCTTTTCCAATGCATTATGTTAAAAATACATATTTTTGCCATGCAGTAATGTTAAGATTTTACTAAGTTCATGTTTACTGTTTGCAACTCTGTAGGACATCTGATCCAAATTAAATGGTATCTGTAAACTTCTGAAGGTAAATAAGAAATGGCCAGTTAAATTTTTTCTTCCATTCTATTTCTGGAAGGACAAAACGTTCATTGTTTTGAAATGCAGGCACATAATTATGCAATTCCCTCATTTTTATTTAAATATTCAGACTCTTGTTGAATCTTCCTGATACTTCGGGTTGGTATCTTTTTTGCACTTTAATGATGATAGCAGATCAGAATATTTGAATATCAGAGTCTGTTGATGTGCATCCTTGGCATCATCATTCATAGAGGCACAAATGTCATTGCAACCACAATTGTCTCTAAGTTGCCCATGACAGTAAAAGTGCATGTCTGTGTCTGCATAGTGCCCTTCAGTACATTTTCCAAACCTAGCCTTTCATGGCTGAATAGAATTGATTCCCCTTTTTCATATTTATTTTTTTCTTTAAATATATTGTTTTGTTTGAAAACATATTTTTTCCTGAATGTTTTGAACCACAGCTGCCTAAAATGAAGAATTCAAAGTCTTTAAACATGATGCTGATTTCAGATTTTGGTTTGGCATTGAAGGCTCTAGGTTAAGAGGCACTCAGACTATGTAAGTGTTCTTAAATGTGGTCACAGACTAAAGACATTGTTTAGTTTTATAGGATAACTCCAACTACTCAACTTCCAGTAGCTAGAAGAGCCAAGTTCTAGCAGATTTTTTCAGCAAACAGTCTGTTTCCAGTCACAAATGGTGTCTTCAGACCAATAAGTGAACAGTATGGACGCCCCATTATAAATGTGTTCACCACCAAAAAGAACGCACAGTAGTTCTAATTGGTTTGATTTAGTTATTTTGGTCCAGTGGGGCCAGAGTCCAAAACATTTTTGTGTACCATGAGATTAGGCTTACATCTAATACACAGAGTGATATAGGAAGCTGAAAAGGGACTTTTGATCTTGATAGCTCCTTTTTGACCAAGGGCATTCTGAATTAACAGATCTCTAACAAAAGTCATTTTGACCTGCTATGCACCTGCTGACTAGTATCACAACACAATCTGTACCTTATACACAGGGCAGATGGCTGACTGGTTGAGTTCCATTGATAGGCTGTTCTTTCCAGTAACAAGAAATCACACTGCAAAATAAACCTTATTCCTCAGGATTTTCAGTTTGGGTAGTTAACCACAACCTTGATCAGTTGGGTGTTCCTGTTCCCCAAATCCTTAATTTCTATTCAGGATCTAAAGCTTCCAGGACTGTTACTTAATTCAGCTGAAGTCAAACTTTCCTTCAAGATGGATTTTTTTTGTCTTTTTTTTCCATAACCCTATCCTTCTCCAGAGTGAGGAAACTTCATGGTTACCTTTTTCTTGAAGAAGATAAAGCTGTTTAGATAATCCTGTCTTTTCCTTGATGTTTTTACTGTGTCTAATAGATGAGACATCTCTTCCTGGAGAATATTTAAATGAATTATTGCATGTATATCAATAATGTATTGTATAGCTGATACATTTGTTTCTCCAAATACTAAAGCTCATTGACCTAGAGCCCAGAATTCTTCATTTGCTTAGTTAGTGGACTACCCAATCCAACGTGAAGATGGGGTGCTGCTTGCAAACAACTAATAGAGTAGTCCCTAGCCCCTGTCACTACCAATGGGAGATTAGCTTATTTTTTATTAGGTATTAAAATGGATTAGAAGTATTTATTTGAAGTGTTTTCTTTTATCAGTTTTTTTGCAAGAGGGTTTGTTGTTTAAGTCTTCATGGAAGTTCATTGTCTTGGCGTTGATCCTTAGCATAGCGCATTTCATTGTGGACATGTGCATATTCTATCCACAACTGAAAGATACTAAGCTTTTGAGAATGAACTAATTGTGTTTTATTAGATTTTAGTGAAGCTATGTTTTTACAATGCATTTCAGGAGAGAGCTCTCAGGGAAGAGAGCTATACATCACATTCTTCCAGCATTACTCAGCTTCTAACCATGAAGGAGCATGAAGAGGATCTACAGCATAAGATCAAGAGACACCAAGAGCTTTTGATGCAAGAAAAGAACAACTTCCAAGACCTTATGAAAAAGGTAGTCTGTAACTAAACTGACTTTCTAAATGCATCTGCGTTATTCGAAGATGAGGGATCTGATTCTTACCTGTAAAATTCTTTTTTTAAGAAGTATGTGGTGGAGCACCAGTGGGATGCTCACCACTTGGGGATGTGGCAAGTTCTGGGGGAGCTTGGTGACTGAGCAGCGGGGAGAACCCTCCCCAGGAACCATATTAAGGGGGAAGGTGGGTGTCAGGGCACTCGGGGTGCTCTGCCACTATAAGAACTGGGGCAGGCAGCAGACAGGTGAGTGGCCATCTTAAGCCTCAGGCCAGCAGGGCTGGAGGCAGCAGTTGCTGCCTGGCACTGAGGAACGCACCTCTCCCAGTGGAGCTGCTGTTCCATAGACAGTATAAAGGTAAGGGCAGGAGCTATGAGGTGTGTTGGAGGTTCCTAGTCCTGAGCATGACCTACAACTGCACGCTGCCAAGATAGGGAGGCCTGGTGGTCCTGCCTGTGGCGGTGCAGGGCCATCAAATGCCAGGTGCGAGGACAATCACAGTGAAAGGCAGGTCGGGGCGCTTTAATAACCTCTGCTCCCACCATCTGGTGGGTTACTACTGATATCAGAGGGAGCTGGTCCAGGTATGTCCATGTGGGACACCTGAGCCTGATAGGGCACAAGGCCCAAAGTGGGTAGTGGGACCAGGCATGGCTATGGCCACCTGAGCCTGTGTGGGATGTATGACCCTGGAGAGTGAGCGGTGTGGGCCAAGCACACCGAAGAGCAGCATCTGAGCCTGCAGGGGTGTTCAACACCAGGCCCCAGAGAAGCGGGTGGAGGATGTGCTTCAGTGGAGGCAGAGGTGCAGAGTGGGGTGCAAAAGGGTACCTGAAGGCCTGCATGAGAGGGGCCGTGGTGAGGCTCTGGAGAGAGGAGCGAGTAGAGAGAGGTAGTTGGGGGGCCCTGCAAGTAAGGGGCCTGAGCTGAGATAAGGCCCTGCAAGAAAGGGGCATGAGTTGGGTCCTTGTGAGTGGGGGCTAACAGGGGGCCAAATTAGGTCCAGATAAGCCTTCGGGCACCTGAGGCCAACTGGGGGGTGGCAGAGGAGGAGAGATAAACAATGGGGTGAATCATGAGAAGCTGGGTGACTGACCTAGCGAGAGACCAGTCAGACCAGTGTTTTGCGAACTGCCCAGAGCTTATTCAGATGAGGGTGGTGGGAGATGCTCAAAAGGCTGTGCGCTTGTTGGCCATGGAGGGAAGGGAACCAAGCCTGAGGACCCTCTGGGTGAGGGCAGGGTGAGTGTGGCTCCAGGGAAAGGGAGGTGGTTTGAGTGAGGCCTAGCAAGGTAGTATGAAAGAGACAGGGTGAGAGCTGGTGGAGTGAGAGAGGCCTCAGTGAGAGGGTGGTGGAACGAGTGTGGCTCATGATAGGGCAGAACGCAAGAGGCCTAAGTTGGTGCTGAGCTGGACCTGGCCTCAGGCCAGAGCAAAGCACAGCTGTTAGAAACATCTACAAGGCTTGGGATGCAGTACAGGGACGGTTGGAGCTGCATAGATAGGCCCAAGAGAACAGGGCGTTCAGTGGGTAGCCCCCTGCCTAATTAAGACCTTAATTATTTAACAACAAGGCATGGCAGGTGAGATAGGTGGGTGGCATGCCCAGAGGCAGTGAAAGACCAGCACTGTGGCTAGTTGGGGACCTCCCACATTGCAACAAAGTTGCATTAACAAAGTTGTGTTAAGAAGATTATTTTCATTTACTTCAAAAGCTCATAGTGGTCTGTTTATCTTATTGAAGACAGACTCTGTTGTAATTTCTTTTTCAGTATGTGGAACTGCTGACCATGAATCAGAAATGTGCTGGTGTTTTCAATTTGGTGTAATTTTATTTACTGTTCAGTGGTCATGGACCTCTAGACCACATTCTCTCTTTTACAGTCAAAGGTTTTCCCATTGGAGTACTCTCTTTCTGCCTTTCTCTGTTGTTCTGGGATCATCAAGTAGCATCACTGTTTCCTGTTTTCCTTTAACCCCTACTCTCATTGTACTGACCTTGTCGGGGCAGAATATGTAGACTCCAAGAGAGATACTACCAGTGGTTTTGTTTTGCTGTTCAGACAGTTTAGTGCCGTGCCTTGAAGTAGAAGCATTTTTTCTTGCTCTCCGAACTTTAGTTTCTTGTGTGCTAACATAATAATGCTGTAGATTACCTGACCTATGTCCCCAGCCCTCAAATAATTAATAGTATATCAAACACTCATTCGGGACCACTCCCTAAGGGCACAGTTTATTAACACAGGTATAAAATGTAGACAAAATATCTACACAATAAAGTTCTTCTGTCCATTGTAATTCCCAGGAGATTTTACTTCTTGCTGCTAAAAAGATCACACCTCTTTCTCCTCAATTCTTCAGCTTCAGGGACTACAGGAGATTCTCTCTCTCCTGCTGATCAATCTGAGCTCTCTACACAGATGGCACCCTTCACAGATGAGTCAACCAAACAGGGATTCATAGATTCATAGATTAAGGGTCGGAAGGGACCTAGTAGATCTTCTAGCCCGACCCCCCGCCAGGGCGGGAGAACAACAAAAAACCCCAAAAAGAGAAATGGGACTCAAACGAGTCCAGCCAGGTAGGCATCCAGCCTCTTCTTAAAGACCCCCAGGGTAGGGGCCA